TCTGATCATTACTATGTTTTGTTCCCGAATAATGTTCTGAAGGGCTTGAGGTCAGAAATCCACTCTTAGATGATCTTGAACCTTTTTCTACAGAGAAGATTAGGGTTTAAAATCGTGGTCAGCTTGAGCTCTACCACTGAGACATCAGTGCAAAACTTTACACTAACAGAAGGTCATCATATTTTTCAATGTGTAAAAACTTTAACAAGTTTTGTGATGTTAGAATTGCACAATGCCACGTACCTTACGTTTGCGTTGAAGCTTCAATTTTTACCGTAATTTTCCGCGACTAAAAAAGATACAAATACGTTTATCGGCAAATTTTCGGTTAAAGTCTTAGCGCTTTTTGAGATAAATCACAAACTCAGGCGATCTAGAGATGAAAGCGTTATAAATGATCAAACAGTGATCACGTTCTTTTTAAATACCCTGATAAATCGCAATGTCTATATGAGCGTTTTCTCCAGATGTCATGTTTTGTCCTACCGTTCTGAACCTTAAAATCTATAAGATTGCGAGTAACTAACGCGGAATATATCGATTAGTTTCAAAAATTCAATAAGTTGATGAAAACTGTGCATGGGGTAAGTACCTGCTGACTACGAATATGACAACATAGAAGCTTCATTGATTTATTCATTTTTGGCATTTCTTGCTCTGGAGTGTTCGAGATTGGTGAACTGGAGTAGGCCAATATGTTTCTGAATGTGTATCATTTGGGAGGATATCTACTGCTTTTTTCAACTTCGTAATTTTTTGTATCAATTAATATTGTTCAGGGTGTGGTCGTGAAAACGAGTCAGCTACTGAAGCACTAAATAATTTGAAATACTCTAAGCCACTATCAATTAATGTAAAGATGTAAATCAATAAGCTAAATTTTCCCTTTCTCAAGAAAAAATCAAACTGACCTAAATTTTAAGTTGGAGGGGGGGAGGAACGTGGGCAGGTATGCAAATTAGTTTGCGTAAAACTCTGGCAGCGCACATATCGGATCGGGAACAGAACTCTTACCATTCGACCTCTATCGATCAAACTCAGTATTGCAACAGTACATACAAACCTAGATTTCGGTATCAAAAATGATTTGTGTAAAAGGAACTTATCACTACACCTGCTGCGAGAAAACAGTGTGCAAGTGACAGATGGGTTGCTTGAACTGAACTTATAGGTATTATTGCCATTTATCCTTTTAGTTGAACAAAAATGTCAAAGCTACAATTGTGATTATTGCTTATTATTCATTGAACATGGTTGCCTAACGCTACAAAAATGGCATGACTTTTTGGCTTCACTTTCCAATACAAATACTTACATCAGCAATATCAATATGTGGGCTATCTGACAGTTCACAACCGCACGCTTATAAAAAATGTTGTGTTTTTCGACAACATCTGTAAAGCTTAAGACATCACATGGCGTTAAATTGTCAAAAGCTATGCAAAATTCTATGTGATCGCACAAACAGGATTTATTAAATGTAAATCATCAATTAAAGGCATATTTTGGAGGTTAAGTTGAAGAGCCAATTGAAGTTTTTTTACGGGTAAAGTCAAGATTATTAAGCCATGAAAACTCTCGGAGGCGAACTACATTGTAACCCAGACATGATGAAACCGTCAGTTGAAGTCCCAGATGATGTGAACAATGTTAGACCTGCTGACCTCAAAGTCATTGCTGCTATGGGTGACTCCATTACGGTAAAAAAAACGTTCTGATAGCGCTTCATCATTTTAGATTTGTGAAAACATTGCTTAAGGTAGCCTCC